CATGAGAGCCATTTCCAATCGTGTTTTGGAATTTGTGATGCTGTGAACAGGATGAGCAGATGAATCTGTGATGCGGCTACACTTGCTAACCTGCACTACACTGCATACGGCAACTTGTCATGCGTGACTCACAAAACTCCTAGGTTTGTGTTGCAAAATCCTCATCCTGACTCTGGTGTGGGTACGTTTTTACTCAGGATAGATTCGCCTGCGACTTCTTCGCTTCCGGTCCGAAGTCTCGTAGGCCGCCCTTCACCGCTTTCTCGAGTTTGCAGTCAGTACCACGGACGAACATCCAGTCGTTTTTGTTTTCATCGTCCCGAATGTACATGCCGTCGGTGAGAATGTGCATGATGCGCTGCGTGCTCTGGTTCGTCTGGGCCCCTGACCCGGAGATTTGTTTGTTCTGCATGAACCGGCACTGCACTGCGTCGAGTTCGTAAAGCAGACGCCCATCGTTGTCCGCCTGGACTAGCCTGCCTTGCGTGCCACGTTTAAGACCGAACTCCCCCTTTATTGCTTCACTTATCGTTTTCTCGGACTTCGCGTTGGACTTCAGATGGCATTCTGTTTTGGTGATGATGTGTTGCATTTAGTTGGATTTTTGATCATGAAGATGGTCGTGCACGTGCTCGTCTTCATGCATGAAAATTTCATGTGTACTACTACGTCTATCAAGCGATGATCGTGATGTCCTTGAAAGAGAAAGCCTCTCATTTCAATTCAAGCAGAACAACAATCAAAAACAAAGCAAAAAGCATCTTCGTATTAAATACCGCTCTGCTTCACGTCCAGCACGGTATTTGCGGTGCTCAAGACCTTCATGCCGTCGTTGGGAAACAACTGTAAAACGACCGCCGGCTGGCTACTAACCCCGTCCCCCTGCTCTACATGGACTAGGTCGTAGAGTGTGAAGGCAGAGCCTGCTGCGAAGGTGGTTTTGTCCACCTCGTCTTGATTGGTGGTCATGTTCGTCTGCATTGAGTACTTGTCTTGCTCGAACGTTACCTTCACGTCGTTGATGGGCAAGTGCACTTCCTCGGGCCAGCCGTCCATCCCCAAGGACGCAAAGGCGACGATTACCGTTTGCGCATCGGTGTCCGCCTTGATCACGTCTCCTATCCTCCCCCGCTGCTTCGCATGGTGGGAAATCACCTTCACGCGCTGCCCCGGCTCGAAATACTTGCAGCACTCACGGGGGTCTACTACGACGTGACCTGATAGTTTTTGTTTTGATAGGATGAAATACTTTCTTGTCGGTGTCATGCGAAATTCAAAACTGCGAATCGTTTTTATTGGGTTATTTTCCTTGACACGTTCGTACTAACTGTCCTCCAAATAGGAAATTCACAACAAATCACTATCACACCTATTTTCCCGATTCCCAGATCCCCCAGCCTCGGTTCCACCATCATCGTTCCGTTTTCCAACATTTTTCTCACGGTCGCCTATGGATGTGTCAGAGTTGAAATCGACAAAGTTGAAGTAACTTGCAATGCATAAAATCGATACCAGTTGCAAGTCCAATTTGTAAGCGGCGCATGACAAATTTGAGTAGAGTCGAAATCTAGTTTGTAATGCTGTTTGGGTAAGGAGGACGCCTTTTGTGATGCTACTTGAGCAGCTCTATTTCTAACCCGAAACAGGCTCACAATCTGCCTCCCTTGCCTACTCTGCAAGACAGACATTTTCTGCGTTGCATTTTATGCATGACAAACTATTTCAACTTTGACGATTTCAATCCTGTCAGTTCCATATCGCGACCACACCTTTCAATTGCCCCATATACACCTCGATCTTGTCCCCCGTTTCGAACGGGTTTTTCTCTTTCACCATCAAATCCTCTGCCCCTAGTTGCACGTGCCCCTGCGCATCCAGCCCCGCGGTCACGCTTTCGTCGACGGCCGCGTAATCTTCTGGCATCAACTATCCACAGGAAGTTTCATCCTGTACATGATGTACAAATGCAGTTTCTGCATGACAAAACTTTCTTTCAATTCTATTGTGCATGACAAGTGGCATGCTCCTCCAAGTTGGTGACATTATTTGTGATGCATTTTGTACATGTACAGGAAATTTGTATTGCATATCAACACGTTGGAAAAGTCGTTCTTCTCCGCCATGGTGGCGTTGTATCAAATGCAAATTATATGTCTGGGTCTGGAAACTTGTAATGCTGAATGGCCATGATTGACTGCGCCTTTGAGTACAGTGCGGCATGACAAATTCTTCAAACGCCCTGTCATGCGCAGGACGCATTACAAACTACGTTTTTGCATGACGAAGGTGAGGTGCTGTATTTGCTGCTTATACAATACAGATTTTTTAGGAATGCGAAACACGCAATACAGGCTCAACCTTTCCAGACCCAGACATATTTGCAGTTGATACGTTCACAAAGGGGTCGATCTTCGCGAGGGGAAAGTGTTTGAAGATGTGCCCGGACTGTCTTGTAAACGTGTCGCCGTTGGTCTGAAAGCAGCGGATCCCCATGTACTCGATGTCGCGTAATTCTTCGACAAAAATTATCCCCAACTCCTTCCTGTTCGCGGTGTCGTAGGTGAAAAATTGCGCGGGCGGCTTTGGTTCCTTGCCCGCTCTTATTTTCGTGTTTTTGTTCCCGAATTTTTGTGGTCGGTCGATATTTGTGCCGTAATTGGTCAAACCGCCGGTCCAAGTGTTGACGTCGCGGGGGAGGCGGGGCTTCATGCGGACCTGCACGCCCTTCTCGTCTATTTTCAGGACGCGCCCGAGGTCGCCACGGTAGGTGCCATTGGCGAGGACGCGGACGAATTCTGTATGAATCAATGCATTACAAATTAGCATGAGAAACAAATGACATTTGTAATGCGAACTTACCTTACGAAGAAGATTTGTATATGCATGACTGCAATACGAGTACGATATTAAAAACAAGAGTAAGTACGTCCAGCCTTGATGTGGCTGTGCGGCGTGGTTCCAGCTTGGCCCATGCACTGCCTCAATACGTTGAAGGAATCGTCAGGTGGTACTAATCTTGTGTCCCAGGCCGAAACGCCGCGGATTCCTTGCAAGAATTTCCGCAGTTCTTGCTCCTTAAAGGCCTCGATGTAGATGTAGTCTGTTTTGATGGTTTTGATTTGTGTATTTCGGAGGGGACCCCAAAGGCAAAACCAAAGGTCTAACAATCTTCATCAAAAATCTAAACGTCATGCAGCAGTGCGCGTCACCAGCGAACAAGCAGAACAAAACAACATATGCATGTCACATCAGATCGCAAGAAGTACTGTCATACATGAGTATGTACATCAAGATCGCATCAAGAAGTACTTTTTATATTCCTGCTGGCCAGCACGGAGAACACGGGGGAGACGAAGTCCGGGTCTTCCTTCTGTTTGTAGGCCATTTTTGTCGTAATCGTGTTACAGACGTCAATTCCCTCGCCGAAAATTTTCACGCACCACAGTTTCGGGTCCGACTGCCGCATGAGAACCGGCTCGGTGGCCGGGCCGGGGGTTACTCGGTCCGGTTTTCCTATGGATGTGTCAGAGTTGAAATCGACAAAGTTGAAATAATTTGTCATGCATAAAATGGATGCCAGTTGGAACCCAGTTCCCAAGTGGCGCATGACAAATTTCGGCGGTCCCTAAATCCAGTTTGTCATGCTGTTTAGGCAAAGAAGAGTGATTTTCACCTGCTCCTGTAGCAGCTCGAGCTGTAACCCCAAACAGGCTGACAATCGGCCTCACTTGCCTGCTCTGCAACACACGTGCCTCGGGTCATGCATTTTATGCATTACAGATTATTTCAACTTTGACGATTTCAAGCCT